TGTATCACTTCAGGGATACGTGAGCCATTAGAGGTACAAAGATGATCAGAGATGACAGACGTCTAGTGAAATAGATTTGGTGGGTTCTTAGTGCTGGAAAATTTAAACCCATGTGTGGTGGCCCAATTGGAAACCGGTCGACTGCATGCTGAGAGAAAACTGTAAGGAGGTGACCCCCAGTCTCTCCAGCGCCTGCACAGGCAAAAGCGAAGTCATCAACATAGAGTGATGATCAAATAATTTGATGGAAGGACTAGAGGCCTAATCATTATAGCAAGATAAAAAGTGTTGTGCTCAGAACACATCCCTGGGACACCTACAGCTGGCAAAGTCCCGGGGAGAGCACATTATTAACCCGAACACGGAAATGCCTTTCAGATTAAAAAGTTCTAAGGAAGGATGTAGATTGCCTCGAAGGCCTAAGAGTGGATCTTGGCTACAAATATTATATTACCACCAAGTTGTGTCATATGCCTTCTCAAGGTCAAAAGAATGCCAATGAACTGAGTGGGTATTCGCCAAAGGTATTACGAACATACCCCCCCGTATCCAAGCGCTGTAAGGGGTCTATGGTAGAACGTCCCTTACGACAGCCATATTGACGAGTGGGAAGACGTTGTGTGTACTCTAAATACCACACTAACCGTCTAATAACAGACGTTTCCATTACTTTGCAAACTGCACTGTAAGAGCAATGGGACGATAGTGGGAGGTTTTCATGTCCCGTAGTGCCTGGTTTGCGGAAAGGAGAACAATGCGATTCCACACTGTGAAGAACTCCTTGGTGACCAAATAAGATTGAAAAGGCGTAATAGGACTGCAAGGGCTGACAGATGTAAATGTTGTATGCATACGAATATGAATGTCGTCGGCCCAGCTGCCGATGATCGACAAGCTGAGATTTGCCTCCAGTTCTTGAAGTGTAAAAAGGCACATTATACTGTTCCTTTCTCTGAGAGAAGAAGAAAAGTCCCAAGGGTTCTAACTCTCTGGCAGACTTATGAGGAAAGAAATGAGGGGCATAGATGGAGTCCCTGAGAAATACGGACAGATGATTGCCAGTTGATTTTTTTTTTTTTTTTAATTTCATTGGCAACATCTAGTGGGATTGCTAATCAACACCGCAACTCGCAGAACAAGCCGGGGTCAGGAGAAATATATATCCACTCAGTTTTCGTACTTTTTTCCAGACAGCCAACTCATAGAGGAAGCAAGGTGATGGTGGAGACAAAATCTCGCCAGCAAGTGCCGTTTAGCGTCACGGATGACACGGCGAGCGAACGCACGCTTCTGTTAAACAAACAAGGAGTCGCTCTGTGGGTTCTATTACCGGACCTGCCCCAGCAAGCTGCGTTTCAAACGTACTGCACGAGCCAAAAAACAAAAAAAAAAAAACAAGCAGGATAACCACCAGCCCGCATTTCTGAGAAAGCCTGCCCGAAGTTGGGGTATAGAATGAGAAGCTGCGGTGAAAACGGAGGACGAGAAGAGGTGTAAAAGCTCATCGATGGAGGACGAAGAAGGAACCTCTTTAAAAACAGTCAGGTGTGAGTAAAGGTTCCAATTTGCCCGATTAAATTGCCAGCGTGGGGTGCGAAGAGGTGGCGAATATGAAGGGGAAGTAAGAATGATTGGGAAATGATCACTGTCATGTAAGTCCGGGAGAACAGACCAAGTAAGTCTAATGCGGCGGAGGAAGAGCAAACTGAGAGATCGATGCAAGAGAGAGTATGAGTCCGAGGATCAAAATGGGTGTGAGTACCTGTATTTAAAACATGGAGGGGGTGGGTGGCAAGAAAAGCCTCTAACTGAATTCCACGGGAATCACAGTGAGACCCTCCCCAGAGGAAATGGTGGGCATTAAAATCACCAAGTAACAGAATCGGTGGCGGTAATGACGAAACAAGGAAGGCAAAATCCGGAATAGATAATGCCCGAGAAGGAGAGAGATATAAAGAACAGAGCGTATACCACCTATGTAAGTGGATACGGGCTGCTGTGTAATGCAGCGAAGTATGAACAAATAGCTGATGGTACGAATATCAGTGCGGAGAAGAAGGCACTTTCATTAAAGGTCCCATCAGGAAAAGGATCTGAAGAATACAATAAATTATAGCCTGAGATGTGAGAAATAACAGCAGAGTGTAATTTTGGTTCCTGTAAGCAAACACCAACAGGGGCAAACTGGGAGAGTAACATCTGAAGCTCACCCCGATTACCCCTGAGGCCGCGAAAATTCCACTGTAAAAAGGCCATGATGGCAATGATAAAGATACTTGAAATCCGCAGGTAAGGGTTCCTACGGACTAGAAGGTTAGAAAAGTCCACATGCGGAGGCAGTGAAAATGTTCAAGCAGCGAAGGAACGGTGCGCTGTGAAGAAAGGAGTTGCGCAGATGGAGCAGAGGGGAGAGAAAGAGCGGAAGGTGGATCAGTGTCCATTGATGGTTTGGTCTCTGCAATATATTCAGAGATTGCTTCAAGTGTTTCGAATTCAGAGATGTCGTATGGAGACAATATTGGGAATGGTAGGGGGGGATGAGTAAAGATTGGAACTGTATTGGACTGTACCAAGGAGGGGGGGGGGGCGAAAGGGGGGAGGGAACTGGAGAAGCGTGGCAGGGACAGAAGAGAAAGGAACCTGGAGGGGGCAGAAGGAAGAAACTTGGGAGGGAACAGGGAGGAAGGTACATTACGAGGAGGAGGGTGAAACCTCTGCACTTGTAACTGAGCCAGTGAGAGGGAAGAACTAGGGACAGAGACAGGGAGGGTAAAATGAGGAGGTGGAAGATGGGTAGGAGTGTTACCGGACCTTTTTTTGACTTTTGAGAAGTAGAGGGACGATTGGGAAGAGGTGTCGTACGAGGTCTCGTCGATACTGAGGCTTGTAAGAGAAACTCGAAGAACGAGATTAACGAGGCGTTTAAAAGGGGGGAA